CCTTACTGTCTCTCTCTCTTGGCATCTAGCCAGCTCATAAATTCCTCACATCCCACAAGGTCTCAGTCATTCGGCAAGAAAACAAACACTCAGCCAGCCAGTCAGTAAGTTTGCTATCCAGTCAACCAGATGGTTATCTTCTCAGTGGAACAGTTATCCAGGAAGGAAAGTCAAGACACCAAGCCTGTTAGCGTGTATGCACTTGCCAACAACTGTCGTTCTTAGGGCTGCGTGATATGACGATATATATCGTGTGCCGACAGAAAAAAAAACATCTTTGTGCTGCAAATCACGCTCTTTATTGCACTATAGGTTTATAATTCCAGGGGAGAACAGGAGAAGGACTCAGACCAGCCAAGACAAAACGTTGGGCATGTGCAACACGTCCTTATAGGCGGACAAGTTAACTAAGGCTTGTTCAACCATTATTGGAGCATAGAACAAAAAGGGGCGGGACTTAGGAATGGTCAATTGGCTGCCATTGAGCACTGCATCTATTTGAATCCCCCAACAAATGAGATTTAGAGTGATTTAGAGGTCTGGAACCAGGCTTGGCTAACATGACCTTTAGTGTGGATTTACTCTTTACTATCTAGTCATCCAGGTGATCTTGTGAAGTCGTAATTGTGACGTAAATCATGTCACAGTCCACACACACCATCCTTACCCAGCCCAAGGTTTGGGCCCGTGCACAAAGACTATATGCGCCAACAAACATGTGTGAACACGTCCGTTAATACAGGCAGCCAATGCAGTGTATAAACAGAACTGTGTGTGTTCACGTCTGTTCTGGAGTGAGCCAACCCACCAGCAAGTAAAGTTAGTCAGATGGGACTGGAGTTAGCCAGCCAGTGAGTGTTTTTGTTATTAGTAACAGTAAGACGGAGTGAAGGCAGGCCGGCCAGCCAAACCACATCAGCTGACTGGCTGGGAGAGAGAGGGGGAAGCCCCACCAGAAATGTTGGCAGCCACTATGAGAAAAAACTCACACACACGTAGTCTTACACACACACATGGCCTTAGCTCAATAAATGTGATTTAAAGGCATACAGTGTTTCCCAGAGGCACTACTGCTACTGAGTGTAGGAGGGGGAGTTACACTGAGAGGGAGAGAGATAAATATATACAGAGGGAGAGAGCGAGGCTGAGAGTGTGCTACAGCCACAGAGACAGATGAAACGGGGAGAGAGATAGAGAGAGATGAAAGAGCTGTGTCTCTCTACCACCCACCTGCTTTCCTCTCTCTCCAGTTTCTCTTCTTTTATATGTGCTTCTCTTTTTTCTACTCGTGTCCTTCAGTGCTGCTGGTGTTTCCTTTGCCTTTGTGCAACGCAGCAGCACCTGTTGCTTCCTCTATGATGTGATCTAATAGGAGCCCCTGCAGGCACTGTGCAATGTTAATCTCACCATGAAAGCAATGACACACTCATTCCTCAGTGTTTTTTCATTTAGTGAGTGATTATGATTCGATTTTTTTTTTCTTTTCTTTTTTGGCTAGACCTATAATTAAATTTTTTTTCTTGTCATTCAAGAGGAAAAAGGCCCAACAAGACTGTATTCACCTTTTACCTAAATGACAGTCTGTCCATGGCTGTATTATTAACCTGTTCTCCAGGGGCAGACATTTGCTGTTGGGACCCCTTTGATCACCTACCTAGTCGCCTGGCCCCCTCTGTGCATCGTTTATACCTTGTTGTCCAAAATTAAAATGTGCATATCATTCAAATTTGTCCACATGTTGACATTGAGCTAGATCTTTCCCTAGACATTAAAAACAATGACAGAGGAATAAATAACGGATAAAATGTCATATTGTGGAAAGAGGCTAGCTTACGACATGTCTTGTTTCTCATGATCATTTTTAAATGACATATAAATGTATTGCATTGTTGTTATTACAATCATATCTAGTAGAGGCAATAACAGGGAAGATTATGTTTCTTCTTATATTCTTCAACAGCACAAATAGATGAGCTAGCATGGGTACCAAAAACTAGCCTCTTTTGGCTGTGTCTGTCACACAGTGACCCTCGCTTCCAGGTCATAGCAGTCCGTGTCCCGCAGCTCATAAGTCTAGCGGGCTGCTGGCTGGAGACATATTTGTACCATGACTTTAAATGTGTCTCTTATCTGGAGCCGTTTATACTGTGGCAGAGGGTAGTTATGTAAAAGTGTATGGTGCAACACAGCTAATATGATAGCTTCATCTATTTTGGACTCCCCAGTCCTGTCTTGCCTCACACATCAGCTCTGTCAAATTGTGCTCTTCTAATTCTATTGGTCAACAGGGCAGATTGCAAGTCTCTTGGTAAATTAAAATTAGTTTGTGGTAATTTGATTAAACCAGCTTCATGTAGAAATATTAAGCACATTTTTTTGGCCACACGTATAGGTTATAATACAGGGCCCACAATTGTAAAACAACTTAAAATCAGTTTTTTAAACTTATTTAAGGAAGATATAACATTAACCAAAGGACAAAGAGTTTTTCAGATATCTTATTGAAAAATTGAGCTCTGCAGTAGAGTGAATATATGAATTAGTTTGGATTTGGGAAATACATCATCTGTGAGGTATTTTTTGTTAGAAAATTACAAAGGTGAATTGGACCAAAAAAGGTGCCCATAGCCGAATTCAGCACAACCCTAAACCCAACGCAACACATCCCTAACACTACTCTTTTGGCCTTTTTAATCCTTTTTAAGTTATTTTTTTGGCCTTTTATTGCCTTTATTGATAGTGACAGCCGAAGATAGACAGGACATGGGTCGCCAGCTCTACCAACTGAGCTAACCGGACACGCCTTTTTAATCCTTTTTAACAAGGACATTTTCTTTTTCAGTCAAATTGTAGAAAATGCCCATAAAATATCGCAGTCCACAAAAAGGACACACTGTACTTAATGATAGATTTAGTCCATTTTTGACTGTCGTAGTCTGTGATTTCTTAATGATAATACCGAGGAACATTGTAGCGGAGACTTGAGGATTTTCATCACTCCTGAGTCCGATCTTTTTATAATGTTGTGTTGTTTTGTTTTTTTCCATTTCTATATCTTTCTATGTCTTTGTCTCCACACAGGCTAACGGTATTAAGATTGGACCCCAGCATCCTACCACCAACTCCACGCTGTCCGGTAGCCAGGGAGGCCAACAGGCTGGAGGCGGCTGCTGCTGAAGCCCCAAAACACACCACCACCTCCTCCTCCTCCTCCATCCCGGCCCCTCCTCCTCCTCCTCCTCGCCCTCTCCAACCCTCCCTTGCGTTTCTACAGAACTGTCCAGGCTCACTAACAGTTTGTTAACCTCTCTCTCTACCGCTCCATTCTTTCATCCATCCATCCCTTCCTCTCTGTGTCTTTCTCTCGCTTTCTGTCTATCAGCCGGTGTCTGATAGCCTGTAGCCTAAAGGTTTACAGGCTATGTCCCCATGAATTAATCTGGCTTCCTACAGACTTGGGAGGACAGACAGACTTAGGAGGACAGAGTCAGCTTCACCTGCAGATTCAGCCACTAAATTCTGGCGTTTTGCAGTTCACCTTTTTTTGGTTAGATAAATAAATTTTAATCTTTTTATTTTAAAAAAAATGCTGGATTGTGAAGAATTCTAATCCAGCAGTTTAATTTACATACTCCTCTTAATTCAGGAGGATGTTGTTGCGATATTACAGTACCTCAGAATCATAAAAAAACCTATTTCTTCTGTAACGGTGAGTTGACTTTGTCCAGATGGAGGCAGGATTGTGGGTAGAGATTAAACACACTCTAAACAACTGACTGTATGGAATAAACCGTGCACCATGTTGTGTCTATACACACATCTGTACATGTTTTTAAAGAAAATGACGCAGCACGTTGATAGCAGGACATGTTCTTACATGTTGAGTCAGTTTTCATGCTGTGCCTGTGTGTGTATAGGGATGATATAGGTGTTCTAGTATGTCACTTTGTAAGGTGTAGGAGGCATTCAAGTCACTCTGTATTTTCTGTCCATAAAAAACAAAGTGCAAATTATGTTATTTTGTGCTTCCTTTCCCTATTTTTCATCGTGCTGTTTTATTCTCTCTCTGTCTTTGTGTCCTTTTTTGTTGACTTGCAGATGATTTGTATTTAATGAACACTACAAACTGGTTGTGGCTTAAAAAAAGTGTTTTAAATTGTCTGGGGAGAGAATAAAAGACCAAACTGTTCAGTGTGAAAATGGATCCTTTTTGGAACTTCAGAAAAGAAAAGTGGGAAAGTTAAAGAAACGTTAGGGGTGTTGAGAGCAGTGGCCGCCATTATGAAGTTAAGAAGTAAAAAGAGGAAAATAGATTGGAAATTTCTTTTTGTTAACTATATTTATCTGCACATTTCTGTGTATATATGGCTCTTTAGGTTTCTGTAGCTTTTTTGGCTGTTTTAAGGTGAAGCTTGTCATGTTGTTGTGGTCTAGTTATTTCTTTACCAGGGGCTGGTAAAAGACCATTTTGGACTTTGAAACAGCTTTTTAGCATTTTTAACAATTCTCATTTAAACCCAAAGGTACGGAGCCGCCCTGTTACATTAGGGCCGCTGGTGCCCTTTCTTTTAAATGACAAGTATGAATGATAACAGGCTGTTAACAGGACCGCATAGAGGCATTGAAAGTCCCTGGTGGAGAACAGACTCCAACTGAAAATGTCAAGCCGTCTCCCTTTTAAGCAAGCTAGAATTTCCACCATGAATTAGCTGGCAGATATATAATGTATACTGTTTAGAGCTTGATCGATGACTGCCTGCAATGTTTTTTTGCTTCGAGACCCCCCCCACCCCATGTAATAGGCACCATTTTACTGTTATGATCATATTTTACTACTTCAGTTACTTATTGTTCATCCTTCCTTCTCATCCCGCCTCTCTCTCTCTCTCTCTCTCTTCTCTCTCTCTCTCTCTCCTCTCTCCTCTTCTCTCTCTCTCTCTCTCCAGATTGTGTGGTAACATTAGCTCTGTATCTATTTTTAATGCCAAATTACTGTGTTTACCTGTTTTTTGTCACACAAAAAAAACGAGGAAAAGTATCAATTAATCCCCCTATATTCTTTCCTGAAATCAGCTGTCTGCCTTAACTCCACCCCCTCTGAGAGATTTGGACAGCTGCTAAAATGAATCCAACTGACCCTTTATCTGCAGATTGGCATTTTACCACTGACTAGTTAGTTGACGATGCATTACACATGCATAGACGCACACTTAGAGAGATATGTAAAGTCATAGGAACAGGCCTAGTTTGAATTCTGTGTAGGAATTTGGGCATTTGAAATGAATCTAAACCTATGTTTTTTTCTTTCCATCCCCCCATGTGCACACACACCCAGCCTGCATACAGTATATGCATGCATACGTACATGATGCATACATATATTTCTGTTTATCTAACTTAGGTGTTTCTTCTCCAGGTTAACTGTATAACTGTAGGGAGCTTTTGGGTTTCACAGCAGTGCGAGTGAATCTGTTTTTCTCTGCAGTGTGTTCTTCTATTATTTTTCTTTCTTTTTTTATTCCTAGATATATTCAGACAGTTATTAATCTTATTCTGATGATGATTATTCTTTGTAAAGCAAAATGTAGTGTGCGTGCGTGTGTGTGTGTGTGATCCCACGGAGGAATCAAGCCAAACCTGACGATGCTATCTCGGTTGAGTCGGTACTCTACGTGCGTATGGACCTTGACCTGCGATCACTCTGTATCGCTCTATGGTGGCCCTCCGTCCTCTCCGCTCTTGCCCGCCTCTCCTCCTCCGTTCCTTCCGGCGCGGCCCCTTCAACGTTATTCTGCATGTGTTTGTTCTTGTGAAATAAAACTTAAAAAAAAGAAAAAATGAAAATGCTATCACAATAAACTATAATAAAACATTCTAAACTCTAAACATGTCATTTTGATGGTTATGTGAAGATGGAAAAATAGTGTTTGAAAAAAAAAAAAAAAACGAAAATCATAGCCCAACTGTATTTGTATTTTCTTCTTGTTTTTTGCCACCCAGCCTGCCCATGCTGACTTTTCACTGTATGAATGAATCAATCATAATGGGTCCACATGCTGTTTTACTCTATCTGATTTATCCATTAAAATGAGCAGGGAGAGACTCGCGTGCTCTTGGATCCGTGCTGTTCGACCTTCAGCAGTCATGGAGATTGTATTCCCTGATGAAGGTCAGCGAGACTGAGAGCCTGCTTGATGAATGAAACATTTTTGAACTCATGTGTAGTCAGGGAAGGTTTGCATGTTCAGTGTATGTGCAGGAGCTTTTTAGAAATGTCCTTCATTGAATTCCTACGTTTGTAGGAATGCACCACAGTTTGGGGCATCATTATGTGATATAGCATGTAAATGTGTCAGCTGGGAGGCTGCTTTAAGCATTTCTAATCCTGCACACTTTATTAAGTTCCAACTAATGGTTGGCTTTATTAATGACCAACAAATAATTGATTAATGCTTTAAAGATCCCGTTCCTTAGCCTAGTGTTTATCCTCTTCTAGTATGACATCTGCTTCTTAGCTTTTTAGCTAGCTCATTAGTTCATCAGGAAAACCCATCCAATGGACAGTTAAACCAGTTTTTACTGCCACGCTAGCAGCACTATAAGCCTGTGCTATGAGTTACAGTACATGCTAACATGCTGATTAGCAGGATTATCATGCTTTCCATCTTAGTTTAGCATTTTAGC